CTATTATTCTACCTCTTTCTTATATATATCATTCCAAAGAAATAATAACAGGTTATGGAAAATTTGTGACTTCAAACAATTTTTTAGTGCTTTTAACATTTTAGAAACTTCACCACCATTAGTTCATGATTTAATGTTTCAAATCCTGACGAGTTGGATGATGACCATGAGAGTATGATTAACGGTGATAGTACGTTCAAACAATAAAAGATGAACACAAAAATAAAAAGGTTAATTATTTGTAGCATTTCAAATTAGTGGCCATGTGTGCAGTAATAAGCGAACAACTGGAGCACAAAGCACAATGTAAATGCTACGAAGAAAAGTTAGGTTGGCAAATGTATATCGACACGATCAATCTAAATAGACTCTATGAAAGATGTACAATCAAAATGGAGGTCTGGAAAGTAATCAAGCTCCACTCCATTTTGATTCTCTTGGTACGAGTTCGTGCTCTAGTCTTTACATTTGGTCTATTTATAAAAGACAAGGCATGAAGGCATGGTGATCTTCGTAGTTAGCGGTGAATTTTCGCTTAGTGTAATGGAAAGCATTCACTTGACTAACTTCATACAAAGATATGTCCGACCCAAGTACAAATTCTATTATATAAACACTCTTCGTTCAAATGCTATTAATTTATACAATAAAAAGAAAGCATAGTAATAAGTGATTTATGTAAATTAGTATTTATCATTTATATTTAAATAAATGTACTAAGAGAAAGAAAATTTATTATATAAGTAGGTCATAGATGAACTCAACTTATCATATGCTACAATTTTGTTAAGGTTACGAAAATTTAATTACTACTTTATTACAATAGTCAATACCTAAACGAATTTGATTTACAAGACAATAATTGGAAAATTTCATTTCATAAGAGAAAATTTTGAAAGTTTTTTACAACGCTACAATAATAGCGTATATTTTCTGACTAGTACACTCATTTTTATTATATTTTAATAATTTGTGTAACTATAAAATACTTCCATTTTTCTATGTCGTAGTAATTATAAAGACGAAGTTTAAATAATATTGGGGTGAATTGCATATGTTGTTTCCGTTAGCTTCAATAATAGACTAATTTTAATTTGGAGGGTACAAAAAGTAGTAACCACAATTTCGAATAAATAAACATATGGATCTCTGGTTACACATGGTAATTTAGAAATGTTTCATGTGAGATGTACAAGCTATACGCCAAAAGAATGGTAGACATATTCGACGGACCCCTATATACATATATATTGTTAGGTAAAATTCAGTGATTTCTAAAGTTTGGGGCCCAAATTACAAATATCAATAACGATGTGTGCGCATGGGGAAAAATCATTGCGTGAGCAAGGCATAAAATTTGGGAACCCAGGGCTGATTTATTATTGCCATGCATGAGCAACAAAATATACATGTGTGAGCATGGGCATTGATCTAGGCAACGGAGAAAACTTTTCTTTCGTGTTACAAATTCTTTCGGAACTCAAATTGGACATAATTGTAACCTAATTTTTGAACAAGTGTCAGAAAATTAATGGTGCGATCCCGCATAAAAATTTTAAACACTTACGTTAGAAAATCCTACCGTCCCATATCTTTAAAATCCGGTAAGAGCTCATATCATTGTACCGGAATGACCATATCATTAATATCATAGCATTTCATACCATAACTTTAACTTTCATGAGTACAAATTCATCAGGTAAAAAAAAATTAAACGGGATATAAAAACATTGCATCTCATATTCTACCTTGTAAGATTGAATAAATTCTTGAAAGGTGAAATTCAAAATCATGTTCTAAATCTTCTAATTTTCTTGGCTGCCCTAAAAAATGAGATTGTCTTCTGCCAATGCCTATGTATATATATTTGTGGTGAAATTATGGGATTCTTTTTGTGCTTTAATTATGCTGGAAATAAATACCCTTTTTTGAATCTGCCATGTATGTGAGTATATATATCTATATTTGTGCGTGTGATAAATTTTGGTGTAGATAGAATAGTCAAAATGTGTGCCACAAGAAATTTGGTTGGGTACCCAGATGATAAGTCATGACTACCTTTTAAACTAATCATAATAAAATAGGCATGCAGTTACCATGTGAAAACATGGCGGGAGCTAGGTATATATATATATATATGCACACCAAGAATCTTTCCCCATTCACGTGACTTGAGGGGAAATTTAAAGAACTTTGTTATTTGTACATTCGGGATTAACACCCCAGATGACACTCCCCTCACAAGAGGGGGGCCCACAATTATTTTATTACGTGTGGACCCTCCTCTCTTGTGAGGCCGGATGTACAAATAACTTTATTGAAATTTAAATTCATTAAATAATCAATTAAAAATAATTTAAAACTATATTTTTCAACCTTGATAACTTGGGCTCCGTTAATCCAAATTAACTTTTTCTCGAGTCTCACATGCATGATTATTTACGATCTATCTAACGAGTCAAATATTCATATACTTATTATCACTTCGTCAATATCTACATTTTATCCCAAATAAAATTGAAATTTACTTTACATATACTTTAGTCCTGACACTTTCAAAACATTAAAATATAGCACACAAAAATTAAATTCCATTCTACCAAAATTTTCAGGACATTACAGCAACGGAGAAAACTTTTCTTTCGTGCTACAAATTTTTTCGGAACTCAAATTGGACATAATTGTAACCTAATTTTTGAACACTCTACATCCATAACAAGGGCTAAACATTTGGAAAATCTCTCTTTCGCCTCTCATATCAATTCATATCATTAAATCTTTCAAGAACAGATAATCAATTCATCATAAGTTGGAAAGAAGCACAAATCTAACAAGGATTGAATCAAGAAACATAAAAATTCAATGAATCAAAACTGGGATGGAAGATCAGAACAAGAAATATATTTTACATCTCCTTCTTGTATTTATAGATAGAGGGTGATGATTTTCTAATTTTTTGTTGTTGTTTTATCTTCAGAGACTTGCTATACTAGATTTCTTCTGTGTAGAATGAAGACTAACATTATTATTTGTTTGATTTTAATTCAAATACCAACTAGTTAATTTTATTTGTGTTCTTGATTGACCTTGTATGCTTTGTTGAATTGCTTAATCACTAATTAGGCAATTAGTTGCTTATTATTGTACTGAGTGATTCACAATAGGTTTAGAACTTTAGAATTTCAACATATGGACAATAGATATTACGGATAACATGTGTGCAATCATATAGATAATCGTGTAATTGAATGCATTACTTTGCATTTGAATTTAGAGTAGAAATATGATCGGACCCTACTTAGGATAGGTTTTACTTACCTCGAAGAGAGAGTCAAATAAAATTGAATCGTCGGTTGTCATGAATACACAAATGAAATTAAATTACATAGGTCCAAAATTGAAGATATTATGATGATGATGATGATGACGATGATAGGTGATTCGGAATTCTAACACGTGCATCTCATATTTAATTTAAAATCACCTTAAATAATTAGTAGATTAATTTGATAAATGGTAACACAACTCTTTTGTTACTTTATATTCGAGTTTGATAATGAATTAGTAAAATTCAAGTTAAGGTTAATTTCACGTGGGAGGATACTCTTTAATCATTGTACTCAACATTCTAATACTTTTTTATTCCCTTGTCCCCTCATATACGTATAAGTGAAACAATGTTAAAATTAGCTAAATATTTTTCACTATATGCTTGACCCTTGTTTGGTCCTCATTATTTCCAAAATACAATTTTTTCTATCTTATTTTCATTCGCATATTTTTCAATAAAAAATATTACACGCAAATTCAAAATATTTTCTTATTTTTTAACCAAAATTCTCAATCAATTAACTATTCAAAAATGCATTTTTGTAAAAAAGAAATGGTGCCAATAGAATTTTTTTTTTTTTTGTGGTCATACTTGGGTGGTGGAGAATGAACAAGCATCAATATCCAATTGTTTCTATTACAGCAAGTGATTATAACACCTCTAGTATTTATCGTAACATCAGAGTTCAATTTTAGTGAAAATGACAGGGTTTTGTTTGATTACGGATCAAATTTAAAGAAGACGTATTAGAGAGTTAAATATGTTTAAAGGATTGATAAGACCCAGACCTCCAGATTCAAAGAGCTGGCAGGACAGTCCCAATTTGGATTAATTTATTTTACGAGATAGATTCACCCGCAAGTTCAAATAATGTTCCATTACGTTAATAGAACTCAAAGATCTAGAAATGTCAAAAGTTGGAATAGTTCTTTAAAATGACTAGTTATATTGTACAGAATAGTATAACATAATATGAATATGATAAAATTAATTGAAGAGTATAGAATAATTATTGGAGAGACCTTTCTGGTTTAGTGGGAAGTTGACCTCTCAGATTCATCTTTCTTTTCTCTTTTTTCAAGGAAAGATTAAAAAAAAAAAAAAAAAAAAAAAAAAAAAAAAAAAAAAAAGAACTTGGAGATCATTGTCGGGAAAGAAAAGAGTTCTTCTAAAGTAATTTCCAGGAAAAAAACACAGATACACGCGCACACACCAATTCTTGGAAGTGTCTCACCCATTGCACCAATTCAAAGTTTCAACAACAATAGTATCAGGTCCGACAGACGTCGACCATGAAAGAAACCAGGTCATCGAGTTCAGTCAAACGACCAAAATCTGGTCTGATTCCCAAGTTACGAGAAATGGCTTGGTTATCTTTTCGAAACCTAGGCATCACTTTTTTGGATTGCTAAATTTTAAGGGATATATTTCTTCAACAGTAACTGACTTATTAGAATGAAGATTTTTTTCCCTTTTCCCCGAAGTTGGTGCTATCTTTTGACTAAGTAGGCAAAAATTATGAACGCAGTAGATAATCAAAAAGGAAAAGAAGACAGAAACCGCCATTAATGAAATAACATCTCTATACAAAAAAGAAGATTTTTTTCCCTTTTCCCCGAAGTTGGTGCTATCTTTTGACTAAGTAGGCAAAAATTATGAACGCAGTAGATAATCAAAAAGGAAAAGAAGACAGAAACCGCCATTAATGAAATAACATCTCTATACAAAAAAGACGATAAAATTTGGCCATGAAAAGGTTGTTATTGGGAGACCTGGTCGTGATAAGGAAGATTGATCGTGACTGATCACACCTATTTTGAAACCACCCCTTTTTGCCAAAATTAATAATAAGAAAACTTGGAATCATCTCCTACTTGGGATGTGCTTGATGATCTAGAGTACTTCTTTGATGAAGATGGAGATGATGATATATCACCTGATCTTCTTCTTAGCATCTGCCTCATTCCATCGGCTACTCGAATAGCTGGATTCGATTTATATTTTCGACAAAATGCAATATGAGCCTTAACAGCTTCTTCCATCCCAAATTGTTTTTTCCCTCTGTTCACTTCATCTCTTACAGCTTCTGAACACAAACCACAGAGCCATTTTCCATCGAATTTTGCTTTCACTTCGCTTATGTAGTCCAGCGTGCAATCTTCTTTCAATCCACAACACTCACACTTTACCAGTTCAATATCCATTTCTTTTTTCTCTTTCCTTGAATTAAAAAGACATTGATCAAAAAAGTTTTATCTACGAAACCTTAAAATTATCAGCAAAGAATACTGTTTTTTGAGAAAACTGATCTTCCTTGTTTGGCTATTTATTTTCCATGAAAACTGAGAATAAGAGTGTGAGGGAGAGAAGTAGTAAGAAAAGAGAGAACTTTATAATAAGGAAACTAAGCTGCCATAATTTCCTCCTTGTTCTAAGGGACATTGAGCAGTGGAATATGAGGCAATGTGGCGCCCCTTAGGGTGGATGGGGTAGTGTAGGGGATTGGGTTGGCCGTTTCTTGTATTTATGAATTCAATTCAGGATTCTTTACTTGCTTTTGTCATTTTCTTTAACATCTTAGGGAGAATTTTTTTTATGGCGGATTCGCTGATTGTTACTTGCTGTTGCTGATGGAACCTAAAAACTAGAGAAAAAAAAAAATGCAGGATCAATCTATTGAAAAAGAAAATCCAAGAATTTACATCAATTTTTCCAAAAACAAGATTTTCTATTGCCTTTTTTTAAACTTTGCATACTAATGAATTTAATGTTCTTACTATTTATCATCATGATCTTCTCAGCAAAAAATGCTTAGCCAATTAAGTTTTTATTTATTTATTTACAAAAAATAAGTCAAACAGCATTAATTAAGTCCACCATCTCCAAAACTCAAATCCATCAAAAATAAAGAAAATCCCAATTGAAAACTCACATTAAAAACAAGAAATGAAGCCTCCCAAGGATTCAACACTCCTTGTAAGCTAACAAATTGCACACATTCTGAAACTTTTTGAATATACATTTAGCCCTGATTTGGTAGGAATTGAAATCAAAATTATTGAAGTCAAAGTCAACAATTAATTTTAACCACGTATTTTATAGGAACCATAACTTTTCAATCACACCAATTTTTATTAAAATTTACTAAAAATCTAATTTTAATTTTCACCAACCAGGAGCTTAATGTGTTCCATAGTGATTACAAAATATAGGCACATATTATGCAAGCTCATCATATGCGAAAGAGAGAATTATGCACTACATTTGTAGTTTACAATCCTGAAAGGGTGAAGAAAGTTAACTAGTAGAAATAAATAAATTTGGAAGAACCTATGATTTAGCCCTTGTTTGACAAACATTATTTTAAAACTTTTCTTATATACTCATTTTTAACCACACATTCACACAATAAAATATTTTGCACCTAAAGTAAAAAAAAAAAATAAAATTCCTACCCTTTAATCATACATTCTGTAACAAATCATTATTCAATACTCAAATTTACCTAAATAATGGTTGTCAAGCAGGAGCTTAGAAAGTCAAAAACAAATAGAAATCCTGAATCACATCTCCCATCACCCTATAACGAGGATGTTGAATATGTCAAGCCTTTGATGGAAAGATGATTTTTTTCCTTCGTGTGAGGTGCATGTTGGAGGGATAAATTGTTGAAAATTGAGATCAATTCCTTGATTTGCCCAAATGATCTTCGTTCAAGTAAATATAGAGAAATTACTAATAGTCAAAAACATAAATTTTCACTATATAAAAAACTGTTATAATTATATAAATTTCTTACTCATTGGACCTTCAGGTGTGGTAGGACAAATAATATAAGCTTTTTCCCCAACAGTTTAGTTGACCCATTTTCCATAACAAATTTCCGGTCAAATAATTATACTTAGCATATTTCCTATTTCCATTCTATTTGCCACTTATAGTGTGCAAAAAGGAAGGTTTTGATCACCAGTATTTTGTACCCTTTAAAAGTGATGGTAGGATTTTGTTTTTGTCGTACCAACATAATTTAAATAAATAAATTTGTCAAACTCTTGAATAATTAGAACTTTTAAATAAGATAGTTCAATGTAACGTATATGATTATCTCAAGTGTTGAGTATTGACACGCACATGATCCACACAATTATATTAGAAAACGCCTGCTAGTGTTTCGAACAAAACTAACAGGAAAATGCCATTATATGTTGTCAATAATAGCTAACCCATCTTTGCATTGTCTCTTGCATTTAGGAAACTATATATCGCCTAATATATATATATATATTTTAATTTTTTTTCCAATGCTTAAAAACATTGCTATTTCAGTAAGAGGGACAACTAAAATGATATTACAAACGAATGCTACAATATTAGCCTTCATCAATATTAACAGAATTTGGCCATGATCGAACATATTAAGCAATTTCTTCAATTTATCATTGAAATTGTTTACGGAAAGTAACTTATGGTTAGCACACATTGATTCACGCACAAACTGTTCTTTATCTGTTTTCAACTTTTAATTCTAAGAACTTCATACTTTTAACCTCCAAGTTTTATATTATATTCTTCAAAGTCAAGACTATATCGGTGAGTGTGCATCTTTTTTTTTTTTTTTATTAATTCAAGAAATTAATTCCAGACAGGACAGTCTCCTTTCCAAACTTGAACATTTTGAAAAAAAAAAAAATTATTGTGTTTTGTATAGGATTTCTAGGTTTTGTCTAGATAAAAAATTTCATCCCATGCACAATAAGAATTCCAAATAAAATTCAAATAGGACAGATAGGAGTTTCAATTAAAGTCCAAAATTAGCATAACTTATTTAACTATAATCCTAGAATTATAATTATAATTATAATTAAATTTACAACTTTCATAGGAATTATAACTAAGCCCAAAACTTTTATAGTAATTACAATAGTCTAAATACTTTATAGAGCTACTACAAAAACCTGATTGAATATCTATTATCCAAACCCCAATAATCGAATCATATCTACTCATTACCGGACCATCCTATCTAATTTTTAGTCCTTATTTTTCACTAAAGGCAAAATATTGCACTTTCGAAATATGAATCACAGAATTCAATAAATTTATAATACTTTTCTCTAATAAGCGCTATATATATTTTGTCCCTATCCAATATCCAATAACTAAGCACCCATTTGGGCCCCATTTTTCGAAATGAAAATAGGTAAAATAGTGTTTTTTTGAAAAATGAGTGGTCAAAAAAGAAGAAAAATTTTTCAATTTACGTGTAATATTATTTTATGAAAGATTTTATGATTGACCGTTGATGAAGCTCCTGGTAATAGTGATTAGGTACAAACCGTTTCCGCATTAACATCTTCAAGTCCTCCCAAGTATTTATAGGTTGTGCCCCGATCCTCCGCCTCGTCGTCACCACTTGATCCCACCAAGTTATTGCATAGTCGGAGAACTCAAGAACCGCAATTTTCACCTTTTTTTCCGTCGAGTAATTGTGGCAATCGAATATCAACTCAATCTTCTTCTCCCACTCTAAGTATGCCTCCGGATCACTCCTCCCTTTGAAAGAAGGAATTGTCATTTTAATATTTCCCAAATTACCATCCAACTCATCTCCACCAAGATTCCTACCTCTCACACCTCGCCTAAAGCCTCTATTCTTAACCCTTCCAACCTCCGCATCCACAAGTGCATCCTCATCGAATCCACTATCAGTCTCAAAGTCATCCTGATCATCTATCCTAACTTCCCGCCTTCCATTCCGCCGTGTATTATTGGCTCCTCGTCGAGGATTAGCAAGCATTGGATTAAGCCAGTCTAGCCTCACATCCTGTTGATCCAACCGATCCCTCACGTCCCCCATCATCCTTTCCATTCGCAATATCGATTCTGCTATCATGTTAAGTTGATTATTGTCCCTGCCAGAATGTGTTCCTTCCATGTCAGACATTCTATAATCTAACTTTTTCTGCCTCGCCAAGTTCACTCGGAATTCACTCAATTTGGTTTTTACCCTCAATTGATCTTACCACTATGCCTTTTATCGCTCGTTGCTTTCACTACGTGCTTCAAAAAACAAATTGAAACTCAACCAAGGAATTAGTCTCGTGAAACCCAAGCCGGATGTGAGTGAGATTACAAAACAAAGGACTCGAATTTGGAAGTTTTGAAATTCAAGAGTGGTTCTTGAATTGATTTGGACTTAGAAAGACAATTTAAGAAAACAAGGGACTAATTTGTAAATAAATAAATTTTTTGAATAGTAGACGTGAACAGTACGGACGTGAACAGTACTTTTTTTCTTTTTCTGTTACTGTATGATGAACAGTACAATTTTTTTTGGACCCTGACTTTAACTACGACACCAACGAAAGAAACGGAAGTTGTTTTGGATTCTAAATGAGCCCAAAAACAACTTTTGAAGTTTTAGACGAAAAGAATTCGGATCAAGACTCAAGAATTTTAATGGACAGAAGAACACGAAGAACGAAGAAAAACTAGAAACAAAGACTCAACAAAAATTTAAAAGGGATATAACCTTGAATTGGAGGCTAAGCTCTGATACCAACTGATGCGAACCCGCGTAGCGCGATCACTACCAAACCCACAACAAATTGAGAATCAAACCCAAGAAAGCCAAAGACAAGGTTTTGGATTAAACCCAATAAATTGGAACCAAGCAACCTGAATCGCCGACAATATGCAGACCTCTTGATTACACAATTTAAATGAATCTCACCCGATTGATTTGAACGCCACAAGATTAGTCTTGATAAGTTCACAAGTTGTTCGACGATGAACGAAAGAAAACAATTAATGCCTCACGAATAATATTCAATAATATGAGAGTTGTAATGTTTTACAATAAGGAATAAAGTATTTATACTATTTAGAGAACCTAAGTAAATTAGGAAAAATATCTAAGAATAATGCAAAATTCGTCCACAATAGCCTAATTATGGTAAAAATCTACTAATAATGAAATTCTATTAAAATAAGGAAAAAACGCGAAATTTGGAAAAATTTGCCTCGGACTTGGCCTATGCGGCCGCATAGTCGCATAGTGCAATTGGTTTGCGACTTTGGGACTTGTGTTTGGTGTATGCAACCGCAAGACTTTAGACCTGTGCCACCGCATGATTTAATGCTCTAACTCTGTTTTCTTCAGCTTTAAACACGTTGATCTAATACTCTTCGGTATTCGTCCCCAACATGAAACTTGCTCTATTTTGCATTCCGAGCATTGTTTCATCAACCGTTGCTTTGACGAGCAATTCCATCGCCTCTTTCATGCGCTTGGCCCTCGATCACGTCATCGGCCCCTTGAATATCAACGGATTTTTCCTCGAGCTCGACTCTGGACTTGACTTTGGTACTTGACAAGCTTCCTGGATCACATCAGATGGTGTGAATAGATTTAATATGGATAATCCATCATCATGTCTTTGATTTGTTAGATTTTGTGAAATAAGGTTA